CTGGATGCGCCAATACAGCTGAACTCGGCAAGCGGCACGGCCTTCGACATGCCCGTCGTCAATATCGCCAGCCTCCTTCAACACTGCGCTTCCGAATGTGCGAGCTTCAGAAATTTGCTGCCCACAACTGTAAGAAAATTCCCGTGCTCCCCAGCGGCGCCGCGGGACTTCACATTGTACTTCGATGAGTTCGTACCAGGCAATGTATTGCGGCAAGATAACAAACGCAAGACGCTCTCGTTTTACGGGAGCTTCCGCTCCTTCGGCCCTGACGCGGTGTCGTGCGAGGACGCTTGGTTGCCTCTCGCTTTTGTTCGCCACGCAGTGGTCGATAAAGTTGCGGGCAAGATGTCTGGAGTCGTTCGCCGACTGTTGCGACGACTTTTTATTGGCCCAGACAGCGCGCCGCAGAGGGGCATCCTCGTTGATGGCATTGGGCCTGGCGGCGCCCCTGCGCACATCTTCTTTAAGCTGTCGAACCTGCTTTATGACGAAGATGGCGCTAAAAATGCCTTGTGCTTGAAGGGCGCCGCTGGCGTAATTCCTTGCGCTCTGTGCAAGAATGTGCACGGCACATGCGACCACTCGGAGCCCCTGCTGTCAGCGCATGGCAGGGCGAGCACGCTGGCGCCCATTTCGTGCTCTGATCCCAACCTGTTCGACGCGCGCGCCGCGGAGGACCTGTTCTTCTCCGCGGACCTGCCCCAGCGTCTGCAAGCCGCGCTGCCCGAGGGCGCGTTCGAGGGGCAATGCAAGATGCACGGCGTTAATCACGTGCCAGATGGTTTGCTATTGGACGCTGAGCTTCGCCAGCACGTGTCGCTGGACATGCACGCGTACGACCCAGCACACTTCGTGATCATAAATGGGATCGCTCAAATTGAACTGAGTGAGTTGCCGTGCCGCCTCGCTGCCGTCGGCCTGACGTCGGAGCGCTTCAGGGACATCGCCAGCGCGCAGTGGCAGACTTGCAGCTTTTCAGCGACCAGCGGCATGCTGGACGCCAACGGGCTTTTCAGCGACCAGCGGCAAAAGCACTTGCAGACCAGCGAGAAATACAGCGCCAAGGCGAGCGAGATCATCGCGGCCGTTCCGCTCATTCGGCGCGCTCTCGATGCACTTACCGCTGGGTCCGCTCAGTTCAAGCTGGACTTTGCAAAGGAGCTGGCTTCCTTTGCCGCGCTGGCCAAATCAATTTTTCTGTATTTGCTGGCCAAGAGGGGCGCGGCTGTGGCATATGCTCGGGCCGTGGCGCTCCGCGACCACGCCGTGGCTTTCGAGTCTGCGCACGGTGATTGCGGCATGTACATCCCGAAGTTTCATTTCTGCAGGCACCTGCCGCGACAGGTGCTCAGGGATGGGTTCGCACATGATACGCTTGTGACGGAGAGGTACCATAAAAAAACCACTGCGGATCGCTGAATTCATCGACAACACGCGGTGCTTCGAGAAATCATTGCTGACCCGAGCTATTGCCCTTCAGTGCCACGATGCGCAACATAATGTTTCATTTGGGAATGCCTTGGTGTGCGGCATCAAATACAACGACGTCATGAACGTTTCGAAGGTCGTTCTTGCGGGTGGCTCTCGCATATCAGCTGGAAATATTCTGCGTATTGGTGAGAAGCGCTATTTTACCCCCGGCGGCGCCGAGGAAGGCGGCAACGTGGCGTTGAGTGTTCAGGAGTTGCATTTTATTCTCTTGCACAGGGTGTCTAGAGCTCCGACCACTTTATTTCGGCGCCGCACCCCCCCCCCCCCCCCCCCCCCCCCATCATAATCACCATCATCATCATCATCATCATCCACATCATCATCATCATGCGCCCCTCCGTCTCAGCGCCCTCCCGCGGCTCCAGCGCCCGCCCAGTGCCCCCTCCGCCCCGACCACTTTATTTCGGCACCGCACCCCCCCCCGCTCCGCCCCCTCCCCCGCGCCGTCTCAGCGCCCCCCGCGGCTCCAGCGCCCGCCCAGTGCCCCCTCCGCCCGACCACTTTATTTCGGCACCGCACCCCCCCCCCGCTCCGCCCCCTCCCCCGCGCCGTCTCAGCGCCCCCGCGCGGCTCCAGCGCCCGCCCAGTGCCCCCTCCGCCCCGACCACTTTATTTCGGCACCGCACCCCCCCTCCCCGCTCCGCCCCCTCCCCCGCGCCGTCTCAGCGCCCCCGCGCGGCTCCAGCGCCCGCCCAGTGCCCCCTCCGCCACGACCACTTTATTTCGGCACCGCACCCCCCCTCCCCGCTCCGCCCCCTCCCCCGCGCCGTCTCAGCGCCCCCCGCGGCTTAGCGCCCCCAGTGCCAGCCGCCCCGACCCTTTATTCGGCACCGCCCCCCCCCCCGCTCCGCCCCCTCCCCCGCGCCGTCTCCGCGCCCCCCCGCGGCTCCAGCGCCCGCCCAGCGCCCCCTCCGCCCCGACCATTTTATTTCGGCACCGCACCCCCCCCCCGCTCCGCCCCCTCCCCCGCGCCGTCTCAGCGCCCCCCCGCGGCTCCAGCGCCCGCCCAGCGCCCCCTCCGCCCCGACCACTTTATTTCGGCACCGCACCCCCCCCCCGCTCCGCCCCTTCCCCCGCGCCGTCTCAGCGCTCCCCCGCGCCGTCTCAGCGCCCCCGCGCGGCTCCAGCGCCCGCCCAGTGCCCCCTCCGCCCCGACCATTTTATTTCGGCACCGCGCCCCCCCTCCGCTCCGCCCCCTCCCCCGCGCCGTCTCAGCGCCCCCGCGCGGCTCCTGCGCTCGCCCAGTGCCCCCTCCGCCCCGACCACTTTATTTCGCGGCCGCAACCCCCCCCACTCCCGCTCCCCCCTCACACGCGCGCCGTCACAAGCGCCTCCCGCGCGGCTCCACGCCCGCCCAGCCCCCCTCCCGCCGATCACTTTATTTCGGCACCGCACCCCCCCCCTCTGCCCCCTCCCTCCGCGCCTCCAGCGCCCCCCCGCGTCTCACGCCCGCCCAGTGCCCCTCCGCCCCGAACCACTTATTCGGCACAGCACCCCCCCCCCCCCGGCTCCGCTCCCTCCCCCGCCCCCCCCGCTCCGCCCCCTCCCCCGCGCCGTCTCAGCGCCCCCGCGGCTCCAGCGCCCGCCCAGTGCCCCTCCGCCCCGACCACTTTTATTTCGGCACCGCACCCCCCCCCCGCTCCGCCCCCTCCCCCGCGCCGTCTCAGCGCCCCCCCGCGGCTCCAGCGCCCGCCCAGTGCCCCCTCCGCCTCGACCACTTTATTTCGGCACCGCACCCCCCCCCGCTCCGCCCCCTCCCCCGCGCCGTCTCATCGCCCCCCCGCGGCTCCAGCGCCCGCCCAGCGCCCCCTCCGCCCCGACCACTTTATTTCGGCACCGCACCCCCTCCCCCGCTCCGCCCCCTCCCCCGCGCCGTCTCAGCGCCCCCCCCGCGGCTCCAGCGCCCGCCCAGTGCCCCCTCCGCCCCGACCATTTTATTTCGGCACCGCACCCCCCCCCTCCCCGCTCCGCCTCCTCCCCCGCGCCGTCTCAGCGCCCCCCCGCGTTTCCGGCGCCCGCCCAGTGCCCCCTCCGCCCCGACCGTCCTCTCCCCCCCCCCCCACCCCTCCTCCCCCACATCCTCCTCCTCCCCCTTCTTCTTGTGCAAGAGCCATGGCACACGTGCCACTTGTTTGCCAGGCGTTGCCCAGCGCCTCGCGGTGGCGAAAGGACGACGCCCCGAAGTTCGCGCAGTGCGACTCCTTCATGGCACAGCCTCTCTGGACACAAGAGGCTTCTGGAACGCTGTTATTGGCGGATATGGCATAAGTACCCGCAGGCGCCGAAGTGCCTGCAAGCGTCGAGCGCTGGCGCGATTGCACTTGCCAGAGCATTTCCTGAGATTTATCGGCGCGACCGCTTCGCGAGGCCACCCAAGGGAAGACAAGGGGGCGAGGAGGAGGAGGAGGAGGAGGAGGAGGGGGAGAGACAATCGGAGCGGCGCGACCGCTTTGCCACTTTGCGAAGCTATCCAGGGGGGGGGGGGGGGGGAGGGAGGAGGAGGAGGAGGAGGAGGAGGAGGAGGAGGGGAGGAAGGAGCAGGAGGCGGAGGAGGATGAGGAGGTGGAGGAGGAGGAGGAGGAGGAAGAGGAGGAAGAGAAAGAGGAGGAGGAGGACGAGGAGGTTGAGGAGGACGAGGAGGTTGAGGAGGACGAGGAGGAAGAGCGGTGCGTCCGCTCTGCCCCTCACGCCCCGATCCTTCGCGCGCGATCGCTTTGCGAGGCCATCCAAGAGGGAGAGGAGGAGGAGGAGGAGGAGGAGGAGGAAGAGCAGGAGGAGGAGGAGGAGGAGGAGGGCGAAGAGGACAAGGAGCAGGGGGACGAGGAAGAGGAGGAGGAGGACGAGGAGGAGGAGGGGTAGGAGGAAGAGGAACAGCGGCGCGTCCGCTTTGCCCCTTTAAATTCTGATTCTGGGAATGACCGTCTTGCAGGTCATCCAAAAGGAGGACGAAAAGGAAGAGGAGGAGGAGGAGAAAAGGAGGAGGAGGAGGAGCGGTGCGACCGCTTTGCCTTTTCAGCTTCTTGGTTCCCTTCAGTTTTGCCGCTGCCATTGTCATCTCAGGGGCTACAGCGACGCCTTGCGCGGGCCCAGTACGAGCGCGACAAGAGGTTGTCATCCAGGGATTCGAACGCATTTGCCCTCCCTCCTCCTTCTCCTTAACCTCCCCTCCCCCGTTGGAGCGCAACGTTCTGGGCGTGATTAAAAAGGAAAGTTCTGAAGCGGCCAAACCGCTGCACTGTGCAACTTGCAATGTAAAAGCGGCCTGCCGCTGCGGAAAGTCAGGAGAGAAGGGAAGAGAAGCAAGCTGGTTTGTGATTTTTCTTAGAATTTGCATATTGTTTCATTTTCACTATTTGTTTCACTATTTTTCATTATTCTTCACTATTTTTACTATTTTCACTATTTAACACTATTTGTTTTATTATTTTCACTACAGTTTACTATTTTTCTTATTTATAGTACATGTTGATGGGATCCTATAGTGCGCAATAGATATATTTAGTGTTTCATAGTATCCGCACCCATCTAAGCAGGCTATCGAAATGCACGCCGGCCCAGTCTAGCCGTCGCATCATGACGAGGAAGGCCTCCGTGTCAAGCAGCGCCTTCGCCACGAGCCGCGGCCTCCTCGGCTGCTCGTCAACGTCCGCCGGCAAGTTCGGGACGTGTTTTGACTGCGCGCAATGCGCGCTGCGAGGATGTCGGGGCCACCTGGCCGCTGCAACCCCGCGCTGCAAGTTCACGTGGTGGCCGAGGCTGGCGCTGTCTGGGCGCCGACATCAGTTTCTGCCGCCGAACTTGGCGCTCTTCAGCCCGTCCTGAGCGGGCTGCCCTGCGGGGGCCAGCTCTGTCGCGCCTGTCCAGCAACTCAATCTCGATCCCCTCGATGACCACGCCCCAGCAGCGCGGCAGCTGCATCTGAGTCGTGGCCGAGCCCTGCTGCCGATGGAACGAGGTCCGCGACCCTGGGAATCTAGCGCAAGCCACTGGCGCCAGCGCCGGCACCGAACGGGGCTGGACGACCACTCTGCACCATGCCAGTGCCCTTGCCATTCAGACCATGATGACAGGGCGGTGGGGCTATGTCGCGGCCGCGTCGATCACGTCCATCTTCCCTGCTCTGATCGCAACCCCCTCAGACATGACGAAGCAGTCGGTGCTGGTGCCTTGTTGAGTCTGAACGCAGGCCGGCGCGCTGGGTGTCACAAGAGCCCCTTCCAACTGCCATCAAGCATCTGACCGCATTGAGATCCGCCGCCGGAATCCACTCGTAACCCAGCTCGCGAATTCGAAGCAAATCTTTAGCGACAGTCGTGCGGACGAACATGTTCTGCTGCCCCATTCACATGCAAGTGGAACACGAAACCGCCGCGACTCACCTGTGAACGCAGTGTGAACAAACGCTGCTACACCACGGCCTCGAGCGAGGATGCCCTTAGCTGCTTCGAAAAGCGGCCTTGAGCTGACCTGCGCGAGCTTAGGAGTTAACACAGCCGCATCTCCTGACGTGTCCGGCCCAACTCCTGTTTCAACTGCTGCCGCCGACTCGATATGAGAACGAACGTTTTGCATCCGAGTTTGGAATCCTCCTACCTTAGCCGTAGGTAGACGATACTCCTGCACATGCAGGATAGGACGCCCCGCCCAGGAAATGGGCGCGCCGGCCTCAAGCATCTCGGCCAACTGGTTGTATGCGTTTGCCTTGGCCGTCGCGATACGCACCACGATACGCACGAGAAGATGAACGCACATACTGATCAGAACCACGGGCCCCTCACGCCTGCGTTTTGACCCTCTTCGCGAAGGACGAGAGCATCGACCCTACCTTTGTTTGCCGTTGCTGGCACTTCCTACGCCACCGATCGCAGAAAGTCGCGCAGAAGGTCTGGATGATCTGTGGCTGCCACTTGGAAAACCCGCTCCCGTTGCTGCCACTGCTGGTCTTCGTCGGACTTGGCTTGCGCCTCCGCGGTCTCTCTGGCAGTGCGCTCAGCTTCCTGCTGCGAAGCATGATGCTGCTGGCTTGCTTTCTCGGCGGCCAATCGTCTGCGCTCGGCGCTTTGCGCCTCCTCGGCTGCCTTGGCCTCGTGGAGGCACTCGTGCAGCCTGCGTGCGAAGTCGGCGCTGCCTCCAAATCCTTCAAGCACCTCGCCCCACCGTGAGTCCCTCGACGACGGCCTGCTGCAAGCTCGTGCCGTTGGCGCCGCCGTGGGGCCCGCCTGGTGGCTGCGGCGCGTGCGGAGCACCTGCCACCAGCTGGCACCGCTCGGTTTCCAGGTCCACGATATCATTGGCAGTGGTCTCCAGCGCCCTGACGGCATCGTCGACTGCCTTCTGCGCCTCGACCACAGCTGCTCGGGACTCCTCAACCACCTCCGTCAAACGCTCCCGCTTGCGCAGCAACTTGGAGCGCTGGAGCGACATCTCGCGGAGGCGTGTGTCGAGAGACTTGCCCTTCGCGATCTGCATGCAAAGGCTCGCTTGCTTGCCGCGCAGCTTCTCCCGGAGCTCCTCGAACTCCTCGCCGCCAAGGTTGTCAACCTCCAGGAGCTGCTCGGTGTTGACGCCCAGCTGCTTCCTGGCGTCGGCGTGCGAATCGGGTCGCTGCTGCCCCTCGTCGACTGCCATGGCGCCCTCGTTGCCTGGCGACTTCTGCCCGTAGACGCTTGGCCTGTACTGTGGGCGTCGGGTCGGGCGAGTGGCCAACCGTCTCAACAACGTTAGTCGATGTGGACGGTACCTCTGGCACTCTGTTGCCTGCAAGCGCCGACGACTTGCGAGCGTTCCTGGAGGTCCGCCCCGATCCACCACTTATGTCCCGTGGAACGAGACCAGCAATGCTTGAAATACCACAGCTTCGCCCACGACTGACGTTGCTGCTGGTGTCCACTGAACGGCTCGCCGCCTCGAGGACTGAAAGCAGAAGACTTCGCCATGAGCGTGGCGCAACAGTTTGCGAAAAGGATACGAAGGTGTTGACAAGATGCGGGGAACCCACAGTACAATTACCAGAATGGGAAGAGGCATGGGCCGCGCCCCCCCTCTGCCACAATGGTTTCGCCCGCCCGTGGCGCCTGAACCACGCTACGGACTCGAACCAACATCGCTACGGACGGTAAAGGATGAGGGAGGGAGGGAGAAATCGAGGGAGGAGTGAGCGAAAGGTGTGGGGGAGGAGGGCGGGCGGGCGAGCCCGAGCCAGAAGTAGCTGCGAAAGCACTGCCTGCACTTGCTGCAGCCGCTGCTCTCCTGCTCCAACCCCCCTCCCCGCCCTCTGCACCCTGCTGCCTCGCCCCGTCCTCGCGCACTTGTCCTCACCTCCGTCACCATCCCAATGCGCTGCTTTTCATCACCATCCCGATTCGCCTTTTCCTACCACTCCTGCCTCCTCCTTATACCCTTCCCTCTCCTTGGTACGTGCTGTCACTCCAATCCCCCTGCCCAGTGGCCCGGACAGGTGGGTGGCTCTCCACTGCCCATACAGCATGCTAAGTAGTCGACGTGTCTTTCAACATGCACGTTTCATTGTAGGCATTGTGAATGCGTGGCGCAATGGGGCGCGACGCCCATCGGGCGCGAAAGGTCGAAATGTTGCTCTCGCCCCGGTCCCATCCGCGATTGAAAGCTGAACTCCTGCGTGGAAGACACACGGGTTGGTTGATCAAGTCAGTGCCGCGCGCTAGAAGAAGCATTTGCAAAATCGTCGGAAGCGCGTGCCAGGCCTAATCGCTGGTCAATGTCTTCCTGAAGGTTCAGTTCCCGTCCAGGCGCGGCGCGCTTTCCGGCAGCCAGTCCTATTGGAATCACGGCCGTCTGCCAGCGAACGGAGTGATACTCTCTGTTCCAGTCCAGATTCACAAGGGCTCCCAATTTCGCGCTTCGCGCTGCGCGAAGCGCGAAGTGCGAACAACTTCGCGCTCTCGCGCCGCCTGCCAGGGGAGAGGAGGAGGATGAGGAATCGGAGCCGAACCGCGCAGCGCGAAGCGCGAACAACTTCGCGCCCTCGAGGGCGCCCTTAGATGAATTCTCACTTCGGAGCGGCGCATGTTTTTCATTCGCCAGTTGTTTGCTAGCAGGGCCGCGCGCGCACGAGCGCGCGGGAGCGCACGCCAGTCCCGGGATCCACTTTGCGCCGGCGGTGGCAGTCGTGCCCTGGGAGGGCGGATGCGAGTGGGCAGGGCCCGCTGAGGCGCTCGCGCCTACCCCTACAAGGGCTCCCAACTTCGCGCTTCGCGCTGCGCGAAGCGCGAAGTGCGAATAACGTCGCGCTCTCACGCCGCCTCCCAGGGGAGAAGTGGAGGGTGAGGAGGAATCGGAGCCGAACCGCGCAGCGCGAAGCGCGAACAACTTCGCGCCCTTGAGGGTGCCCTTGCCCCTCCTGCCACAACCAGGGCGCCAGCTGCTGGTGCTGTTACTATGGCTGCCGCCGCTACAGGTACACACGTTCTCTTGATCATTCTGCTCCTGATAATCCTCCTGGTCAACATCCCATGCCCCCTCCCTCTCCTTGTCCTCCTGCTCCCCCTCCTCACGCATGTCCATCCTCCACATCCTCCTGCCCTTGCTTCTCCACCCACCCTCCCTCCCTCCCTCCGCCTCTGCCCGGGGGGCGGGGCGCAGACGCGAAGGTGAGCCGCGCACCCCCCCCCCGGCCTCAGGATGAGCATGCGAAGGTGAAGGGTAGGTGCGTAGGAGGAAGGAGGGATGAATGACGGAGGGAGGAGAGAGGAAGGGAGAATCCGGCACAGCCTCTAGAATACCAAAGAAGACCATACCCTACGGTGGCTCACCTCGAAAATGCCCACGGTAGCATCTTCCTCATGCTCATCGTCCAACTCCACCACCTCCTCCTCCTCCTCCTCCTCCTCCTCCTCCTCCTCATCATCATCATCATCATCACCATCATCCGCAACAGTGGCCTCATCACACTTATGCTCGTAAGCAGCCTCCTACTAATCATCACACGGATCAACGACCTCCTCCACATCCTCCACAACCTCATCATCATCATCAACAGCATCAGTATCATGATCATCATTAGCATCATCGTCAGCACCACCCCCATGATCACCATCACCATCACCAGCACCATCATCATGATCGTCATAGTCATCATCATAACAACAAAACCATCATCACCATCGTCAGCATCACCATCACCATCACCATCACCATCATCATCATCATCATCATCATCATCATCATCATCATCATCATCAATACCATCATCATTACCGTCGTCATCACCATCATCATCATGGTCATACGCATGATCACCATCATCACCATCGTCAGCATCATCTCCAGCACCATCATCATAATAATCATCTGCATCAACATCACCACCATCATCAGCATCATCAATCTCGGCGTCATCATCGGCAAAACCATCATCACGAACAACCGCCGCGTCACCACTCGCCGAAGCATTAGCATCAGCAGCATCAGCACCTGCATCATCAGCTCGCCTCCTCCTCTTCATCCTGCCCCTCTCTCCTGAAAAGGGGTGTCATGTACCTCCAGCTGTCCAATGACGAAGGTAATGATGCGAGGAGGAGCCGGAGGAGGGGGAGGATGAGGATGGGGGTATGAGGAAGCAGGACGGACCTAGGAACCTCCTAGACACCCAGGGAGGTGTCAGATGCCCCCCGGATCCTGCTAGAGTCCCCCCAAAAATCCCTTCCTTCATCCTCTTCTCCTCTGAATCTTCATCGTCGCTCCTTTCCTACACTTCCTGCTCCCCTCTTTTCCTCTGCCCCCCTCCCTCCCTGCCTCCTGCTCCTCCTCACTTCGGGAGGGTGGAAATCACGGACCTCCTCCTGCCCCAGGATTTCCTTGCCCTTGGCCAGCTTCTCGCCCGAGCTGGCAGCCCGCCTGGTCTTCGCCAGATCCTCTGGGGAGACGCCCTCCAGCGGCCCACCAAACACGGAAGAAGCCGATAGGGGAGGGGGGGTGGCATCCGTAAGAAAGGGGGGGGGACGGATGAGGACGGAGAACAAGGACGAAGGACGGTAGACAGAGACGGAGAAGGAGAGGGGGCCCCGAGGTGTTAGGAGACGCTCTTCAGTCTTTCAAGGTTCCCACTCCTGCCCCTCCAGTCCTCCTCCCCTCCCTCCTCCTTCCGCGCAGCGCACTCCGCCCAACTTCCACCGCAATGACGCACCGAGGACAGACCAAGCGGAAACGGAAAAAAAAGCCGTGAACAAACATGAATAAGACAAGGAAGGATGAGTCGGGAAACAAAAAACGCGGGGGATGGCTCGAAAGGGGGGGGCGACGACGACGACGGCGACGGCGACGACGACGAGGACGGCGGCGACGACGACGAGGACGAAGAAGACGGAGGCGACTGCGACGCAGAGGACGGTCTCATCATCACCATCCGCCCTAGGGCGCCGCGCACTCCGTATATCGAGAGTCGACTCGACCTATCGACGCACCAGCGGTTGCCAAGGGGCTCGTGGTCGGGAAAGGAAGCTTGTGCTCACCATCCCCTATTCAGCGCGTGCACGCGAGGGTTGCCACTTGTCTTCTGAATTATTAGATGGGCGCCCGTGAGCGCCCCATGGCTTCCCGCGCAGGTTGGGTGAGCCGTTTTTTTCCTTAGAGGGTGACAATGGACGCCTTGGTGGGGAGCAGGGGGTAGGAGTACTATTGCTACTATTCCTGTCGCTGATACTGCTACTGCTACTGCGGCTGCTACTCCTACTGCCACTACGCTTACGACTACCACTACTACTACTACTAGTACTACTACTACTACTACTACCACCACTACTACTACTACTACTACTACTACTACTGCTACTACTACTACTACTACTACTACTACTACTGCTGCTACTACTACTACTGCTACTACTACTACTACGACTACTACTACTACTACTACTACTACTAGTTACTGCTACTACTACTAATTACTACTACGACTACTACTACTACTACTACTGCTACTACTACTACTACTACACTACTACTAGTACTATACTTAGCTACTTACTAGCTACTACTACTACTACTACTAATACTACTACTACTAATACTACTACTACTACTACTTACTACTATTACTACTATTACGGACTACGGAATACGAATATTACGACTACGACTTACTACTACTATTATACCGACGGCCCGTGCCCCGACGACGACGACTACTACTTCAATACGGCTTACTTACTGCTACTACTTACTACTGACTGCTACTAATACACCTACGACTACTACTACTAATACTACTTGACTACTACTCTACTACGACTACTCCTACTACTACTTACTACGACGACTACTATACTACTACTACTACTACAGCTAATAATCTCTAACAATACTGCTATCTACTATTGACTATCTACTACTACTATACTTACTACTACTACGAATGCTACTGCTACTACTATACTTAAGAGGTGAGAGAAATCCCATCCTCCCCACCCCCCCACCCCCCCACACCCCCCTCCTTTCCCACCTTTCTTCCTCTCTCCTCTTCCTCTTCTCACCATCTGCACTTCACCGCCTCCCTCTCCCCCCCTCCCTTCTCTCCTCCTTTCCCTCCACTCCACTCCCTCTTTCTCCCCCCCCCCTTCTCACACTTCTCCAGCTCCTAACGTACCCAGCAATAGTACTACTACTACTACTACGACTACTGCTACTACGACTACTACTACGGCTCCTCCGACTCTCTACTACTAGAATCACTGCTACTGTTACTACTACTGCTACTACTACTACTACTACTACTACTACTACATCTACTACTACTACTACTACTACTACTACTACTACTACTACGAATACTACGACTTATCATGTTACTACTATTTCTACTACTACGACGACGGGAACTACGACAGCGGCCACTACAGCGAAAACTACGATTCCTACTACTACGGCTATTATTATTACTACTGCTTCTCAATGCCACAACTAGCACGACTACTTCTACTACGGCGACTACTGCTCCTATTGCTACTACTACTGCTACGGTTACTACGGCTACTACGACTACTACCACTACTGCTGCTACAACTGCCCCGAGTACTACGACTATTACTGCTACGACTACTCCCACTACTGCTGCTACTACCACTACTAGCACCGCTACTACTCCTAGTGGTAGTAGTAGTAGTAGTAGTAGTAGTAGTAGTAGTAGTAGTAGTAGCCGTAGTAGTAGTAGTAGTAGTAGTAGTAGTAGTACGAGAAATAGTAGTAGTAGTAGTAGTAGTAGTAGTAGTAGTAGTAGTACGAGTAGTAGTAGTGTAAGCAGTAGTAGTAGTAGTAGTGGTAGTTGTAGCAGTAGTGGTAGCAATAGTGCTACTCCTACTACTACGACTACTACTACTACTACTACTACTACTACTACTACTACTACTGCGACTACTGTCACAGCTACTGCGACTCCCAGTGCCGCTACTTCTTCTAATGCAAATCTCCTACGAAGACTACTACTACGACTACGTCGACCACTACTGGTACTATGACTACTACTACTGCGACCACGACTACGTCTACTGATACTATCCATACTACGACTACCAGTGCTACTTTTTACTACTACGGCTATTACTATGACTACTACTACGACTACTACGGCGACGATGACTACTACTACTACTACTACTACTACTACTACTACTTCAACCACTATTGCTACTACTACCACTAATACTTGAGGTACAACTAGCACTATGACTACTACTACTACTACTGTTACTACTACTACTACTACTACTACTACTGCTATTACTAGTACTGCTGCTACGACTACATGTACTACCACGACTACGACTACGACTACGACTACCACTACTACTAGTACTACTACTACTAATACTACTACTGCTACTACCACGGCTACTACGACTACTACTACTACTACTTCTTCTACTACTCCTACTCCTACGACTGCTACTACTACTACTACTAAAACTACTACGGAAACTACGACTACTACCACTGGCACGATCACGAAGGCGATCAGTACTGCTACTACTACCATTGCTGCTGCAGCTACTGATGCTGCTGCTGTTGCTACCACTCGCACTACGACTAAGACGACTTAGCTTACTACAGCTGCTACGACTACGACTGCGAGTACGCCGACGACCCGAACTACAACTTCAACTACAACTACTTATACTACGACTACTGCTACTACTACAACTTCTACCACGTCCCTGCGACTGCTACTACCACGACTACAACTACGACTACTACTACTACTACTACTACTACTACTACTTCTACTACTACTACTACTACGATTGCCAGTACGACGACGACTACTACTAATACTACTACGACTACTACGACTACTACGACTACTACTACTACTACTACTACTACTACTACTACGACTACTACTACTACTACGACTACTACTACTACTACTACGAATACTACCAGTACTACCACTACTACGACCAACCATGCTGCAACTCCGACACCTGCTTCGGCTACTACGGCTAACTACTAAACCTACGACTACGACTACCACTACGACTACGACTACTACTACTACTACTACTACTACTACTACTACCACTACTACTACTACTACTACTACTACTACTACTACTACTACTAGGACTGCTAATACGACTACTGCTACTACTATTAAGTTTGAAGCTATGACGAATGAGCACGCGGGGTTCACCATATAGACTTCCACGACTACGCTGCCAATACTACGACGGAGAGGACCAAATGCACCACAACGGCTACTACTGCTACCAATGCTTCTCCTAGTGCCACGACTACCACTGCTACGACGACGGCTACCATTACCACTGCTACTGGTACTGTTACTACTACGACGACTACTACTACTACTACTACTACTACTACCACTACTACGACTGCTACTACCACTACTACTACTCCTACTACTACTACTACAACTACTACTACTACTACTACTACTACAGCTACTACTACTACTACTACTACTACTACTACTACTACTACTACGACTACTACTACTACTACTACTACTACTACTACTACTACTACTACTACGACTACTACTACTACTACGGCTACGGCTACTGCTACTACGACTACTACCACTCCTACTGCGAATGCTACGTCTACGCGTACTACTACTACTACTACTACTACTACTACGACTACGACTACGACTACGACTACCACTCCAACTACTTCTACCACCACCACCAGTACTACTACTACTGCTACTACTACTGCTACTACTACTACTACTGCTACTACCACTACGACCACTACTACTACTACTACTACTACTACTACTACAACTACTACTACTGAGTACACGGTGACTAATGCTACTACTTACTAATACTACTATACTACTATACTTAGACTCCTACTACTACTACTACTACTAATACTTACTACGACTGCGACTACACAATACTATACAAATACTTACTACTACTAATACTACTACTTACTACTTACTACAACTTACTACCAGACGGACTACGACTACGGACGAACGACGAATACTACTACTACTACTACTACTACTACTACTTCAACTACCAGTACTACCACGGCCACAACTAATGATAGTACGACTACGGTTGCTTTGAAGTACTACTACTACTACTACTACTACTGCAACTACTACTCCTACTACTACTTCTTCTACTACTTCTACTAGTGATAATACGACTATCCCGACGACTACACAAACTACTACTACTACTACTACGACTACGAACTACTACTACTACTACTACTACTACTTATACTACTACTATACTACCACAAATACTTTTACTAACTACTTTACTACTACACTACTATTACTACTATTTACTACGACTATTACTACTACTAATGCTACTACACTACTTAATACTACTACCATTACCACGACTTTATAAAAACTACGCGT